ACAACCCAACCGAATTTCAATTTCCGACAACTAAAAGCAACAAACGGTCGTTAAATCTTCAAGGGCTTGTAGGACGATATGCAATGGACGAAATAAAACCTGGAGAGGCGGCGACGATGGTTGTCGGGGCTTGGTAGTGGTTAATCGAAGTTCCCATGGCGAAAATTGAGGTTGGTCGCGACGGAGGGAAATTGGGGGTGAAGGTTCAGATGAAATGGAGGGAAATTGGGGAGTGAGTATAAGTAGCTGATTATACTAATAGTGATGGTGGCTGTTTCATGGGAAATTAAGCTTTTGGAGGAAAGTAGGCCGAAAATCACAACCAGGACTGGTTGTGCTTCTGCCTCTTTCTTTTTCCTCTATACATTTCATATTTATAATTCAATGAAATGTGAACACAACCGGTGGAGTTCCCATGAATAGCGCCACGCCGATTTTGAGGCCGAACTTGATCCATTTTCCGGCGATCAGTTCCGCCACCGTGGCGTGGAACCCAGATTCGCACTCTGCTTGCAGCACGTCCATGGCGTCGGTGACGGCGGCTAGTACTAAAATGATTTTATTTTTATTTTTTAATAGTTGCAGAGGTGGAAAACTTAAAAAATTATTATTTTTTTATTTTTTAATTGCCATGTCACACATTTAACGGTCAACTATAAGAGTTGACCGTCACATAAGCAAAAGTTAATGGAGTTGGACGGAGAGTGACCAAACTTAACAGTTTTAGTAATTTTAGTGACCACGAATGAAATTAAATATTTCTAGTGATCATACGTGGACGTTTTTACTAATCTCAGTGACCAACCTTGCAATTTACCCCTTTTAAAAGAAACAATCTTTGTTTCCTATAGAATTACTATTAAGAAACCAAAGAGAATTAATTAATTTTAAGTGGTAATGTTTGTCTTAGTTAGTTATTACTATCTAGACGTCAATTTTAATGACACAAAAATTATGTAAAATTTTTCATTTTAATTAATTATTATGCATATAAAATAATGAAAAAATAATCTATTTAAAATGATAAATTTACACTAAACTAGATTACAAGTGAAAATGAAAATTTGGAACTCTTATACATTTATTAGAGCAAAACGCATTTTGGGAAGCTAAAATGCCAATTTAGCCTCAATATTTAGCATTTTTGGGATACTTATGAGAGGGTTTAGGGGTGTGCAATGGTCCGATTCAGGATAGGACTGGATCAAGTATAATTCGATTCGGTTTTTGGTCCGTATGAATTTTACAATTACTGAAGAAATGATGGACCGAGCTGATATTTAGACCTGACCGGACCAGACCAAATAGACCGAACGCAATGATGGTCCGATCCTTGGTCCTAAGATGTCTTTCACTAATGGAACGCGTTCCTCATGAGTTTGGTCTGGTCCGGACTGGACCGAACCGTTGTACACCTCTAACAGGGATGACAATGGGTCGGGTTGGGTCGGGTTTTTTCAAACCCAAACCCATGGGTTTATTCGTAAAAAAAAAATTCGGGGTAAAACCTATTGGGTTTGGAAAACTCAAAACCAACCCAATCCGTTGGGTATCCGCGGGTTCATGGACACCCGTTTGTTTTTGTGGTAAAAAATTTACAATGACAAGTTACTATCAAAATAAAAGTCAAATATCGATTTCCCCATACATATTATCCATACATAAAACACTAGTCTAGAAAATTCAAACAAATCACAATTACACTAAATAAAAACACACAATACTTTGTCTTTCGGTTCATTCCCTTTTTGTTTGTGAAAGAGGAGCAAACCAACAAACATGATGTGTTCAACTTCAATTATTAATTATTCTTCCCACTTGTTTTGAAAAAAAGGAAACATTATCTTGGTAAGAAATAAAATTAGGGTAGGGTTTGGATAGAGTTAGATTGAGGGAAATTAGAATTATGGTAGGGTTTGGTGAGAGTAGAGCAACATAATAAGTGTGGACATGTATCCATGAGTCGGGTATATCTAGGCAAAATACAGCTGTATATCCACAACTACTAGGTTTGAGACAAATATATCCATAACTATCGAAATACACGAAATATCCATTTTCGTCCACTCCGTTAACTTCGTCAGTTAACTTGATGACTGGACATACGGTGGATGCTTAGTTGGCGTGTTTCTGACCCCACTAAATGACATGGATTAAAAGAGAAAAAAATTTAGGCAAAATACAGTTGTATATCCGCAACTATCAGGTTTGTGACAAATATATCCACAACTATCGAAATACACGAAATATCCAAAAATCGGAAGGTTGTGTGACAAATCTATCCATTTTCGTCTGAAACTATAACGGTGTGTCAGACGGCGTTAAATTGAATAACAGAATGTTGAATCGATGTCATCTCACCTGCCACATAAGCCAAAAGGCAACCAAACTTTACACTGTTATCTGTTAGACCTCACTAATGCAGTCTTCTCTGTTGGCGATTTGGTTAGATTCAAGCTTTTTTATTTGAGATTCATGCTTGGTATCACCATGGCGCCGACTGCATAGAAGCCGTCGGAGTAAAAGGGAGGCAATGGTTGGGGATTGTGGTAGGGTTATTTGGGGATGGAGGCGTCGATCGGAGGAGGATCAGTGGTTATCGGGCGTGTTTCTTGGTTGGATTTTGTCTTGCTGTCTGTGTTTTTTAGGGTTTAAAAAAATATATTTTAATCCACGTCATTCAGTAGGGTCAGAAACACGCCAACTAAGCATTCACCGTTTGTCAAGTCATCAAGTTAACTGACGGAGTTAACGGAGTAGACGGAAATGGATATTTCATGTATTTCGATAGTTGTGGATATATTTGTCACAAACCTGATAGTTGTGGATATATTTGTCACAAACCTGATAGTTGTGGATATACAGCTGTATTTTGCCTTTATTCAACTAGCCTATTTGGCATCTACGTGTAAAGTTTGGTTGCTTTTTTGCTTATGTGGCAGGTGAGATGACATTGATTCAACATTCTGTTAGTCAATTTAACGTCGTCTGACACGCCGTTATAGTTTCAGACGGAAGTGGATAGATTTGTCACACAACCTTCCGATTTTTGGATATTTCGTGTATTTCGATAGTTGTGGATATATTTGTCACAAACTTGATAGTTGTGGATATACAACTGTATTTTGCCTATATCTAAATCCAAACCCAACCCAACTTGGTGAACAGTGTACCATGTTTTAACCCGAACCTCTCACGAAACCCGTGAAAATAGATTTTACCAACGTTGAACGGGTTGGTTCAGATAGGTTCGAGTTTTGTTGCCATGCGAGAGATGATTCAACGGTATGGATTCCCGACTTTATTCTTTATGGATGGATCCCTGAATTTAGTGTTACTACTTGGGCTGCCATGGCCTCGATAATAGAACATATCTTTTAATTCCCGACATCCACGGGGGAGAAGAGAACCTCAAGCAATCGAAAAATCTAAAGAGGAAAATAAAAGAGAAACGAGGGAGAAGAGAAGAGAAGAGAAGAAGGTCGACCCTCCTCCTCCCGACGTGCGTGCCGGCCGAAATCCCAGAAGTCCCCCGATCTTTCCTTCTTCCTTTTTTCTCTATCCTTCCCGCCTGAAAACTGTAAGTAATCCTCTCTCTCCCGTCTTGTTTTCTTCCTGCAGATCTGCACCGAACGATCCTGGATTTATTTTTTCATTCTTTGGAGTCGGTTGTCAAGATTAGCACATAAAAATCAGGAAATGGGTTATCTTTAGATTTTGTGTTGAAGCAAACCTTTGTCTCGTTGAGGTAGACACGGATCTGGGATTCCGGGGAAAGTTTTAGCTGAAACGTGGAGATGGTAAAATGGAGATAAAGAAAATGTTCAGAACATCGGTTTACAATCTACAGAATTAGAGTGATTTGCGAAATGTATGAATGTAAATTTCAAGCTTGGCATTGCTGAAATGTTTGATTGTTGGAGGTATTCTTTGAACAATTGTGAAAATACTAACCGGGTCTATTGCACTAAGAAGGGAGGGCGGAAAGGAAAACTTGTTGTGGCCGGCGTTATTGCAGTAAGAAGATTTCGATTAGTATTAGGAGGACCATTTATCGAGTTGGAGAATTTTGAACATCTTTGTGGGGTCCTAGATCTTTGTTTGTCAATCTATAGGATTCTTGACCATGATCTTTCGAGCTCTAGATTGTGTTCTTATTTTGCCTGGATCTGCTATGTCATACAGAAGCAGTGGACATGCTTTCATCTCATTTTAATTGCTTAGCTTGCCCTTCCTTACTACATTCTTGTGGTGCATCATGAACAAATTGCCATGGTTAACTTCCTTTGATTTTCCAAGAATGGCTCCCGATCTATCTCGAGTTCATGCTCGTGATGCATTAGTTGTTAAACTACCACTTCCCGAATTATGGTTCGGTAGTTCGTTGGACTTGGTCCATTACAAATGACAGGGTGCATCGGTTTTTGTTGTTGAGTATGAAACGCCATTTTTTCATATCTCATCTCAACCTCCACTGCAGTTAGTTCTATATTGGCTTTCTTCCCGTTGATCTCACCTCTGTAACTTACGACACTTCTGCAGTCGTTGAGCTTTGATTCATTGGCTAGGTGGCCCTGATAATGGATTATCAGTGATGTTTTCATCGTTATATTGGTCCTTTTCTCGAGGCATTTCTTGGTTCTGACTCATAATTTTTTTGTGAAATGGAGTGTTTTGAGATGAAGTCGAGTGAGCATTATGTCCCCATTACATTTGTTTCTTATGGGGTGTAACAAATGGTGGGTTACTGTCTCTTACTACCCACATTACCAATTGGCATTGTTCCTTGCAAAGGTTTAGAATTGGTCTCTGCTGTTCATTATCTAAGGCAGATTTGTTCATGTTCCTGCATAACTTTGACCCACACATCTATTTTGCAGTACATTGTTCACAAAATGTAAATTTTTTGTTATCATCTCCACGGACTTCCTTCAGTACTGTAGGAACTGATCCGAATCGACACCCCCAATGTTTCAGGTCCTTGCAGGAGGTTAGACATTATGGTACTTGACAGCCTATCTTCCCCTCATAGGATATCATCTCTTCGGAAAGGATTCCCCAAGGAAGAACTTGGCAGCTGGTCAACGCTCCTGAACAGACACCGATTCCTGCTGACAGCTTTGACTCTGTTGGCCTTTCTATGCACCATCTACCTCTACTTCGCCATTACACTAGGCGCCACCGCTGCGGCAGGATCATGTTCTGGGATGTCCGGGAAAGAAAAGGCGTTGTGCCATTTAGAGCATGCTAAGACCTCTGTGACTACGGGGAAACTGAAATTTTACTGATGAGATTGATACAGTTCGACCTATTACAGTTTTCTTTTCTTTTTTCGATCTTGGGGTTTACTGTGTGATCAAAGTTAAATACTCTGGTAAAGCATGTTGGAAGAGAGTTGGGGGTGACTGATTCTGTATCTTCTCATTATTATGTATGAAAAGGTTTTGTTCAAAGAAAATGTGGGTGTCAGAAGATCAGCCGATTTATTTATTTTTTGGTGAGAAGCCGATTAATTTATTGTAATGAGCAAAAGTGAAATCGTCCTTGCTGAATAGCAAATATTAATTTGTTTGTACCGAAAAATCATTACTTCGCAAAACTGGACTGTGAATTTTCTGATGAGGGTGTGAAGCTGGACTGTGAATTTTCTGACGAGGGTCTGAAGAGGAAAATGAGAATTTTGGAAAGGAAAATGGGTTATAGCATTATAGGTATAATATTCCTCTCAACTATTTCGTTTTATCAAACATGCTTCTTTATTATTTTTTACATCAAACATGTTTCTGTCATTTGAAAGAATGATCAAACATGCACTTCTGTTAAAATTTTCATCCAAAAACCGTTAACCACGATCAAACTTTTGTTTGGGCGATACAATTGTCTAAAATATCTCTAATAATTTCACTTTAGAATTTTTTGGGTTCTTTTCTATAGGCAAAATAATTTTAATAAATTCACTTTGATGAGACTCAGAGGAATAAAACACGGGATAAAACTGATATTTTTCCTCCCATTTGCCGATGTAGGGTCGTCTAAAACTCGGTTCAACCATGATTCACATTTTTTGCAATGAAATTTTAACAAAAAGGTATGTTTGATAACTTTTTAACTTTTTATTAATCGAAAGAAAAATAAAATTCAGAAATTAAAAAAAAATAATTTTTTATGTCCTCAAAGCTGACGTGGCAGGTGAGGTGGACATTGACTAACGGTCAACAGGTTTGACCGTCAAACCAGCCTCCAGGCCAAATGAGGAAGTTTGCTACATAGTTCAGGCTAGAATAGCAATTTCTAATACCACGGGCCAAAGTAGAAAGTATGTGTATAGTTTGGGCCAAACTAAGGTATTAACCCTAAATTTAATTTACTTATTATTTGTAAACGATAAATTAAATATATGCAATAAAACATATTAGCATGTCACGAAAGTAATTGTGGTTTAGTGGAAGATGTCAAAACTAATAGTAAGGGGGTTTCATGTTGAAATCCTAACAATAGCATAAATTAATATCCCTATTTTTTTATGTTCTAACCCCCACCCAAGAGTGTGCCGGGTAGAGGTGGCAATTAGGATCCAAATCCATGAATCCAATCCAATCCATCCACCAAATTATCCACCTAATCCAATCCATTTAAATCCAATCCATTTGATCCAAATCCAATTGGATTGGTGGATTCATGGATCAATCCATGGATCCAAATGGCAAATTACGATTTGGTACCTATATTTTTTATATTTTACATTTTGGTACCTAAAATTTATATTTTTATACGAAAAATATCATTGGAAAATTACATTTTGGTACCTAAAATTTTTCATTATGACATTTTAGTACCAAAACTTTTCAAATTTTACATTTTGGTCCAATCCTTTGATGTCATTTGGATTCATGGATCAATCCACCAATCCATTGGATCCAATCCATTTGATCCATGGATCCACCAATCCAATCCACGAATCCACGAATCCGATCCAATTGCCACCTCTAGTGCCGGGGAACACCCTACTTACACGGTGTCTCCGCCCCCCTGGCGACACCGATACCGCAGTTTTAATAGCGGCACCATAGTATTGGCCTATTATATACCGCATATGGGCTTTTTCAATGTGTCCAGATACCATTTCCATGCATAGCGGGCCTAATGAACGGACCCCATCTTCTTTATGACTATAGTAATGTCAATGGACTAGGCCAATTATGTTCTTCCTGCTGGTAGATTCGTGTTTCAAGTTCCAAAGGGGCCAGGATCACATTCGGCCTACATGCCTCTGCTACCACCACCTCGGCCCAAATCAAGCCCACTATGCCTCATTCCCTCACAATAATGCGTCAAAATTGCGATTCTTTGTAGAAGTGTTTTGGTGAACTAAAACCATAAAATTGTAAGATTTCAAGTTTTAAAGTGCGATTTTGACTATAATTGTAATTGAAAAGTGCGACTCTAGGTAGAAACATTTTGGCGACCTAGAAGTGTAAACGCATAAATTTTTAAACTTTAAAGCGTAATTTTGACTACACTGGATATAACAATAAAAACTTGGACTTGGGGTACCAACCATAATGATGGCTTGTGCAAACTTCAAGTTGATGAACGGGCCTTTGTTTGATCGGGATGTGTAAGGGAATAATATAAAATTCATACTTGAATCTCTTACAACCACAAAATTGTTGATACCAAATAGTTTCTCGTCGTAAGAGTCGTCCAATCAATTCTTGACGCCTTGTTCGAACAATAAGATGTATTGTGGCCTAAGAAATTTTAAATATAAGAAAATGAAAATTCTTGAACTATCCATTGTCCAATTAGAAATTGTCTTATCAAACATAATTATTATTCATGTTATACGAGGTAAATTCAGTCAACGGATATTGAAGTACTAAAACACAAATTTTTTATGTAATGAAAGTTAAATGGATACACTAAAAGTGTAAAGACTAAATAATCAAACTATTGCAGTGGAGGGATAAAGTACTAAAGTTGAATATTATCAAGCTAAATCCACATAAATGGATATAAAAAAAAATATTTGCATAAAAATTAATACAATGGTAAGGTTTGAACCTATAATTAAGGGCTCATTTACATGAGTCGTTTGCTCAAATGTAGAAATTACAAATGTATTGTTTGTTTAAGTGAACGTCAATTTGTCTCCAACTAAAAAAAAAATTGAATTCAAATTTTAAATTTTTCCTTCCTTTCATTCTATAAATTCGGATACCATTAACATTTGACTCATTCCAACAAAAACTTATGTCGTCGAGCCCAATGCCTCCGTCGCCGACACCGTTCCTCCGACACCGGTCAACCTCCCGTCGTCCTCAATCGTCGAAAAACAAGTAAGTTTAATTTTCCGGCAAGTTTTCCAGATTTCCGGCGGGCCGAAAAAAATTACGGCCGGGACGTCGCCGAGCCGAAAGATTTTTTCTGCCAGGTGTGGAGCCAGCCGAAAATTTCTTTCGGCCCGACAGCGTCATGGCCGCAAATTTTTTTCGGCCGGTCGCCGAACACGCCGGCCTATATTTTTCCGGCGGTTGGACTAGGGTTGAAATTGCCTACCAGCAAAGGTCGAACAAACTCTGGAAAAAGCTCCTCGATGTAAGGGTAAGAATATTGCCTTAGGGGCTCTGGGATGAGTAATCTACAAAAATATACCAAACGGTCAAAATTACTTGGACAAAATTTACAAACATAAACCAATTACTACTAGATGGACTATAATATTAAACCAATTACTCACCTGTATCATGCTCGTCGAATTCACCTCCACTCGATCGCCCCCTCCCTCCACTCGATCGGGATCTGCCTCCACTCGATCGCCCCCTGTCTCCACTCGAACCAGGCCCAGTATTCCTCGAGCGAGGCCGCTCATAATATGAACGCATGCGACTGGTGCTTGTTCGAGGCCGCCCTCTCGGATTCTCATTCACTTCCGGTTCCCTCACATTGTCCTCTGCTGGGTGAAGCCAATAGAATAGGGCATCTCTAGCTTGTCTCACTGCTTCAGAACCTCTTTCTTCCACCTCAACATTAAGACGCGTAAAGTGTTGTCGTTGAAGCTCAATTTCATCACTGACTTGTTGTTGACATGGGGGTTTTTTATAATCCAAAGTCCGCCAGAATACATGCAACTCTTGAGCATAGAATTGACGTCTTTCTTCCTTAGCTTGAATAACCTGGCAAGCACACTTGAGCCCATGTGTCATCTGAAAATGACACGCACATCTGTCCTTCAACTCCACCCCCCATCTAACATCAGTTTGATTGCCTCACAACTAACGGCCCTCTTCAAAAACGTGCACGGAGCCTCAATTGCCCTACTCAGATTGCGGTTCAGTGACTTGTGCAGTTCATTCACCACTTCCAGAAACTGATGTTCAATGTAGTTGTGGTTCTTCGCAAAACAAGTGTCAATCGCTCTTCTACCAGACACAAGGAAATTCTTGAATGAAGAGTGAGATGACTCAACTCTATTCTAGCTCGTGTTACTGAGATGAAACACATGATTCGTGTAGCACTTTGCCCACATTGTCTGATGAGGCAACCACTCACCTCGCACTTAGTCGACCATTTTTATGTTCTTCTCTGTCTAGACCCTCTCAAACTCATTATTCTTTTGAAGAAAACCCTCCTAAGTCCAACTCCATGCAGCTTTGTCGAAATATTTCTTCCATACCGCTTGTACTACCTCTCTTTTTGCAATTCCACCCAGTAATTGCTCAAACATTTTCTTCACACTGTTGTTGACGTGCCATAAACATAGTAGGTGGACAGTATGTGGGAGAGGGAAGACCACAGGAACAGAAGCAAGAAGACCACCTTCTTTGTCTGTCACAATGTCATTCGGAACCGTATCAACGAGCAACCCTTTAATACATCGCAACAACCACTCATATGTTTCCTTTGTTTCCTGCTTAATAATTGCGCATGAAATGTTGAAATTCTTCTTGACTGGAGTAACCCAAATAATCTCAACCCATGGCCAGCTGTACATGTTCGTCTTGTAGGTCGAGTCGATGAGGATGACGTACGGCCATGCATGCAACATCTGAATGGACGTCGGGTGTGCAAAAAACAGATTAGTGAGCACATTATTAGCGTTCTTTTGCAAATAGATATGGTACCCACGCTGTTCAGCTTCGTGAAGCGTAAACTGTATCACATCCATTTCACCCATCTCACTGAATCTTGTATTGTAATTTCGGTTGTACATCTGTTTGATATCATGATGCACACCCCCTTCAGTGTTGAGTGTCATCTTCCGCTGATTTGGTCTCACCCGCCTTCC